CAAATACTTTGTCAGATATGTTAGCTAAGCAAGGGGTAAATAGGGAAGAATTATTTTGGGCTCAGTTGTGATTCTTGTTTTTCTTTCCTAGTTTACTTGTAAGTTTCAAGGAGGGGCTGCAGCTCGTGCCTCTCGCTGGGATGATGTATGAACTCACTCTAAATTTGTTTCTGAATCAATAAATTTATTATTATTCATCAAAAAAAAAAACAATCACTTGAGATAAGGCAATTTCTGGTTCCACATATCTGGGCCCAAAAAAGCCCAAATACAAACAATAAATGTATTAAAATTAAAAGAAATTACAGAAAGAGAGTTTCCCTAAACGAGTAGATGGATCTCAGTTATCTTTCACCCATATCATCTTCATCTCAACTCCCCATGCCAGACAACAATGGCCAGTAGATGGATCTCAGTTATCTGCACCCATGAAGAAAACAACAGCAAATATTATCTTTCCCCTTTAGAAATTTTTGTTGCATTCGATCTATCAAATGTCTAAGTACCCCACCTAACTGTAACTCCTAATTACCGCAAAAATTAATTTAGCATACCACTCCCCCCCCCCCCAATTCCTCCTCCAAATCAACCCTTTCACTGACCCCTTCCATTTAGCATTGTTTTTACATATCATTCCTCCCACCCCAGGATACTCTTTCTTGTTTCTTTAATTTCTGGTTTTATTAATTCTCTTCATCCCACTTTCTCTTAGTTTAAAAGTGTACTTGCACTTCTAAGCTTCATTCTTTTCTTTTCCCCAATCACCCTAGCTCTTTTATTAATCTTCTTAAAAGTTTACCCTTTAACCCCTTTGAAATCGTTTCCCCTTTTTGATGTGGGTATCCTCTTTAAGTGGCTGTCCTACATAGTTGCAATTTCTATTTATTCTACTTTGTTCATGATAAATAACTTTAGAGTGGTGAAACCATATTGCAATAAACAAACCCTAATCACGGCTAAGTTCAAGGTGAACATTTTCATTGTAAATGAAGAAAAAATCTTCCACAACAAATCACAAGAAATGTACAACACCATTAATAAAATTTCTTTAATCTCTTAGATGGATTCATAGAAGTGAAAGAAACACAGTTAACTTTAATCATCACTTGTAAGATACTGCAGATAGGTATTAAGTAAACATTGCCGAGCATGAGACAAGATCAGACTGCAAAAAGAACAGGGGCAACACGAATAAGCTCTATTTATCACAAACAAATAAAAGAAACATATATTCCAAGAAAGATAAAGCCTATACTACTAACCTTTGAGAAGAGGTTCCAACTTGGACTGCAACCAGTCAATGTTCTTCTCCAAGTAATCCATACAATACACAAGACCTAGATGAACACGACATATGATTCAGCTACTGCAAGTAGATATAACACACATACAAGTGTCTTCAGCAACTAACGCCATTGTTAAATAATATAGAAAACCTGAAATACTTCCTAAGTGGATTATATAAATAAACTAGCAAAAGCATTCTATCAAAATCTTTATACATGATTGTCAATTTTCTATGACTTTGGCCAGTCAGAGAAGACATGAAGACATAATGTCTAAAATCTTTATACATGATTGTCAATTGGTTATAACTAATTCCAATCACAGTGTATATATACAAAAACTAACCTCCATTAGGGCCAAGAGAATGCTCAATCATTACATCACTGAGTTTTACTAGCTCCTCAATATTCACAGCACACTCGTACCTGTATCTCATGTAAAGGAGAACCAAACTAGTTCAAATGGCAAATAGTTAACATCTTCATCCTACTAATAATATTTTACTACAAATGGATCACTAAACAATTTTTTTTGGTGGAAAGGATACGGCAATGCATCATTAGCAGGATCCAAGTTAATGACAGCTACTTTCCTGCATGGTAAAGATTATATTGTCAATACAACCTCATGGATAATAACTCAATAAGTCAATATCATGAAATACATGAAAATGCACATCAAATTATATAGATATTTGTATATATAGGGAGCAGCTTTTATAGTTAGTTCATTTAGTGAGGAAGCCTAAGTAAACTAGCAATCTTTTATGTGGCGAAATGGTTGGGTTGTTTAGTGAATAGGTTGAGTATATCATCCAGGGAAGATCCATACTTGCCCCAATTACATACCCTTTTTCAAATATTGGCTTTCTACATATTACTGGATCTGATTTCTGAACACATCCTCTTCAATTTCCATGAGAATGGATAAGGACTTAATTTCAAGTCTAAAACTTGCATTATAAATATAAAATTAAAACATAAAATAAGATAAGAAAGTGGACACATTTAGGTTTCTTAATAACTTTTATAACTGTTTAGGTTTCCCAACATGTCTAGCATATGCATAGGGAAGGATCTTGTTTTTTTCCATGAGCAATTCCATTCAGAGCCCTTGTATGTCACCCCCCTCCCCCCACCCCCATATGGAGGGAAAATGATTAAGTATAATCCAGACTCCACAATGGAATAGGTCATAGTTTGTAGATGAATGAATGGCATCTTCTGCTAAGACAAAAAAACCCAAATGCCAAAGGATAACCAATTGTTCTTTTTATTGGTCAATATTTACAAATTGCATATTTTGGAAATGGAAAATCTTCAGAACGCACACATCATTGTTTTGCCCCCTACAACTTATGGGTGTCGTGTCCAGAAATCCAAACATAATAATGATCTGAGGAAACCTCAATGGCCAATGGAGGTTTTTTCTGGTCGAATAAACTATAAGAATATGAGACCATCATAACAGTGCCTGTGAAGCAAGAAAAATTATATGCAACAGCACCACGCCAAATAAGCATAGGCTTTCAATTCAGAAACATAACAGTCCTACCATAATGTTAAGACTCCAGCAATACGCTTAATCGAAGCAGCTCATTCTAATCTTCAAATATCAGACATTACATCCATTTCACAAATTAGTAAAAGATTTATTTTTCAAATATTCAAGCAATAACTCCATGAGCAGAAAGAAGTAAACAACAATTTAATTAGGAAAATCCGGGAAAATACCTTCCAATGAGTTTGAGAAACTGCGACATGCCATTGCAGTAAGTCGTCTTCCCCGACCCAGGGGGACCGATGACCACCTGACCGAACACCATCCTACCCTCCTCTGTTTTATGATTCTATCCACCTCTACGAACTTTCTCTGTATGGAAAGATTGTATCTTGACTTACCTAGAAGAAATTCAATGAGGCGACCAGAACGAAGCTTCGCAATCAAAGACGAGAAGTTATCAGTACAAGCTTTTAATTTCAAAATCACCCGAGAGACACGAGAAGAGAAGGCTGGTCTCTAGGGAAGTGGAGAGGCGAGAAAATGATATAGTGATATAGTGCTTTATACCCAGATAATTACGGTACACTAATATCTTAAGCATCCATTGGGTCCAGATTATCCAACAGATGGCCTCCAATGCGGATTTACTTTGAATCTGGAGCCCTTTCCTCGGCGGGTCCCACTTTTAGATAGTGATACTGATTACTGAATCCGAATTTCTTAATTTTTGGTTGATAGTGAGCATTGAGATTATGTACATTAGTTGTTCTGTATCACAAATTGTACGAGAAACGGAGAAAGCCCTTCCGACTTATGTTGATATATAAAACCCTAAAACGCCTTCGGGAGGCTAGAGATAGAGGTGAGGCCCTCCTTCGCTGCGACGTCCACCGATCTGTCTCTCTCCACTTCTACTCTCTCTCTCTAATGGTTAAACCCAATAGATAACCTGTCTAACAACACCACCAAGACAAATTAAAAAATGTACTGCATAAGCGCTAGATTTTACCCAAAATCCCTGATGAGACTTGTTTCTTGTACCAAAATTCTGCACCGTTCTCTCTGTGCCACTGCTGCAACTGAGACTCGAACGCAGAAGCTCGAGAGGATCGCCGACGAGCTTCTCGACCTCAATAAGCTCGAAAGGCACGATTACTCAATTCTGTTTAGGCTTAAACTAGGGTTGAACAAGTATGGGCCGGCAATCTCCGGCCTTGATTCATCGGCTTCTGCGGCAGCAGGAGGTGGGTCTGCAGCAGCCGATGCGAAGGCGGTGGAGAAGACTGTTTTCGATATAAAGCTCGAGAAGTTTGACGCGGCAGCCAAGATCAAGATCATCAAGGAGGTTAGGACTTTTACGGATTTGGGGTTGAAGGAAGCGAAGGATTTAGTGGAGAAGGCGCCGGTTGTTTTGAAGAAGGGAATCACCAAGGAGGAGGCAATTCCCATTATTGAGAAACTTAAGGAGATAGGTGCTACAGTTGTATTAGAATAGGAAAAGTTCTGTTTGTCCATCTTTGTTTCTCCTTTTAAGATGTAGAATAACGATTATCTTTGATTAAGGAATGGCAATTGAGTTTTAGTTATATTGAATTTTTTTTCTCATATAATTCTCTATTTCGTTCTTCTCTTTCCGGAATTTCATTCCATTTTTATTGTCAAGGTTGAACCTGAGGAATGTGATGTCTATTTCTGCTTGGAGTTAATAATAATTCAACAAGCTAGCTTAACTGTTACTTGTTGGACCATTTTGGATCAATTTTGACTTTGAAATCTCTAGTATGAGATAGCTTGGCAGGGCCAATGTTTCTGCAAGCAATTACCTTTTCATTCCAACAAATGGGTTCGTCACATTTAGAGCTTAATTATATAGTAAATTTCATTTGGCACGACAGTTTGCTATTAAGTTGACAGTGGAACCTTTTGAAATATCAGAACAGAAACAGCTTCAGTCAGCTACAATTAAGGGCTCAACAGCCCAACAACAAGTTAGAGGAAACCGCCAGTTTGCTCCTCTTGTGCCTTCGTCATTTGTTTTTTATGGAAGTACTTTGAAGTGAAGTACTTAAACTGTCTAATCAGGAAAAGTCCCCTTGGGTGTCATCTAAGCAACCAGACATCAAACACCTGTCTGGCAAGAACTGCATATAGTCTTGGTGATGCTTTATCAGTTATCACCTGCGGTCGTGCCCCTATTCTATTTTCTTGTTGTGAAATTTCTACTTACTATCAAAATAATAATAATAATAATCTTTTTGCTTGGATTATATTATCTCTTGTGCTATTTTTGCTTCCATTTTTTGGGAAAAACAAAACAAAACCTTAAACTTTCATTACATCCAGAAAACTAGATACATATACATACCATCTAGTGGTAATTGATACCAAATGTCCTTTCCATATTTACATACGTTATAAGCAAGTTTATCAGGGAAAACATTTCTTGTTCTATTTAAATGATGTGCAAAAAACTTACACAAATCTAGAGCATACTCCATCAAAGGCTTTTCAATCCAGTACAAGCACTTTACTGCTTACTTGGCTTATGAACCAAACCTCCTCCATCTGAGAATATGAGAATTTATTTAATCCACTCTGCATGTGCTGCTTTAAGATCCACCATCAAAATCCACCATTCTGCATCTGAACTTCCCCAAGTTTTTTCCCCTGCTGCTGTAATCTCATTTTCCTCATTGGAAATTAATGCATAACCAGTTGCAACATTACCCAAGTTTGGATCATAAGAACCATCTGCATAAAACTGGATGTATTCTTTTGGAAACACAATCTGCAGCTGAATACTGTGATTGATTCTTTAAGACTTTTTTTTTTTTTGAGAAAATTCTTTGAGACAAATTCTCTTCTAGTAGATACATGTTGAGCCTGTAAACTACATCTTGAGGGTTTGGGTTCATAAATTTATTCAATTGCAACCTCTTATCCCATTTATATAAATGTTCTAGTTGTTCCCCTGCCATTCTTTTACAAATCCATGCATGTTTTCACCTCTAATTCTTTAAGGATTAACAACTATCTGTACTGCCATCCAAATTTCTCTCACAAAAGGGCAGAAAAAGAACATGTGGGTTACTGTTTCTTTTTCTTGATTACAAAGTTAACAGTCCTGTTCTCCTACTGTGATATTTTCAAGTTACCCTTTCTTAGAATTTTACCTCCTCCCTCATATGCTTTCCTTAGGAAAAGTTTAAATCAGTATGGAACTTTTGACTTCTATATCGAACCCTAGTTTATCATAGAACTTGATAAAAAATGATAGTTAGATAAGATGATTTAACTATGTATTTTCATGAGTGTGTTTTCTTCCATAACAGTTGATCTCTGGTAATTGATTTGCTTGTGGTAATCTAAATAATATGTTGAACCAGTTCAAGCTCAAATATCTCATTAATTAAGCTGTTGTTCCAATTTCCATCTTGCAACAACAATTCTTGTTTGCTTCCATATTAAAATCTTTCTTTACTTCAAAACAGTCACATTTTGACCTGGGAAATAAATTTGCACATGCAGCATTCTGTACTTTATGTCATGATATCAATGGTTGCAAACATTACAAGCGTATTGCAAGGACAATTTTACCGGATTATATTAAGTTCATGTAAGGTTTCATTAGTTATTCAGGTTTACATGTCTATGGTTATCCCTGCTGTCTCTTTTCTCAATCAATCCAAGTTATTGAAAAAATGTCTCATTGTTAAACTTTAAGTTTTGATAAATTAACCTTCTTAGTCTAGTGAATGAACCACTGGGGACTAGAATTCTTTGGATTTTTTTTTTTTTTTACTTCAAATCCCAGCTCTATTGTGGGGCTTCATTTTTTTGCATTCTTGCTCATCTCATGCAAGAATGAATTAATTAAGTGT